TGGAAGTGTCGGTGGGAACTGGTCAGTGAGGCTCAAGCAAAGAAACCGAGAAAGAGGAAAAGGACATCAGAAACTTGAGCAGAAAACCAGGGGACTAGGAGTAAACTGGGAAAAAGTGTGGGCAGTGGCGGACAGGCTAGGACCCGGATGCAGCGGAGGGGCGCCCGAGTTCCCGTTACTAAGGCAACACCCTGCGAGCCCCACGTCCCCTTCCCCCACCCAGGCCCCAGCCGGCCTCACTCTGGCCGTCGCCACCGCCCCTGTTTTGTTTCCATGGCGACGGGCGGTGCGGGGCCGCTCCAAACATAACGCGCTGTGGAAAACATGCGGCCCGGGGGACCCCCCCGTAGCCCCGAATTGGGGTCGAGCACTGAAAGGTCTCGGGGAGGGCCAGGCCACGTACAGTTTGACAACTGTCAACAGATCCGGACCAGGAACATACGACCCTCATCTCCTAGACCCTCCGAGCCTTCAGCGGGTCGGGGCTTCTGTAGACCGAGGCGTTGTGATTCTCCCAGGCGAGACTGGCCGCCTACCCTCCCCCGCTGCGAAGGCCGCCATTGGTTGAGCCTTCGGCCGCTATCCCCCGAAAGCCGCGGCCCCGCCTCGCGAGGTCCCACTCCCCCAGTCGGGAGAAGCCACGCCTCTCCGGTGGAGAGAAGCCGGGCCTTCCCCGCAGAGAGAAGCCACGCCTCTCCGTGTGAGAGAAGACAAGCCTTCCCTGCAGAGAGAAGCCACGCCTCTCCGTGTGAGAAAAGCCACGCCTCTCCGGTGGAGAGAAGCCACGCCTCTCCGGTGGAGAGAAGCCACGCCCCTCCGCGTGAGAGAAGCCACGCCCCTCCATGTGAGAGAAGCCATGCCTCCCCTGTCGAGAAAAGCCGCGCCTCCCCGGTCGAGAGAAGTCGCACCGCCCACGCTGAGAGAAGCCACGCCTCCTCATCCGAGAGAAGCCGCGCCTCCCCATTCGAGAGAGGTCGCACCGCCCCCTCCGAGAGAAGCCACGCCTCCGCAGCCGAAAGAAGCCGAGTCTACCCTGCAGAGAGAGGCCACGTCTCTCCATCCGAAAGAAGTCGCGCCTCCCCAACCGAGAGAGGCCACGCCTCCCCGACCCAGAAAAGTCGCGGCTCCACAGCGGTCCCACCATGTCCCCCACAACAACAAGCCAGAGGGCCAGTGGAGGGGGGCGTGTCCTTGCGAATGAAGGCTTTGGCGCAGAAGGAAGTGCTTCCGGTACAGAGGGCGTACAAGATGGCGGCGCCCATGGAGCTGTTCTGCTGGTCTGGGGGCTGGGGGCTGCCGTCAGTGGACCTGGACAGCCTGACCGTTCTGGTGAGGGTAACCCAGGCGCTCTTTGCTGTGCCCTAGAGGACTGGGGTGGGGCTCGAGCTAGTCAAGCGTTCGAACTTTGCTGGCGCCACAGCACAGGCTCTTTGGGGAAAACTGAGGCAATCCAAAAGCGTGGCCAGACCGATGTGGGCTGAATACCCTATCGTAGTTTCCTAGATTGCAGGTACCAGTGACAGTAGGCTTGATCGGGAATCCAGGAGATAGGCTGAAGTCCTTGCTTTCCCATGGCTGTGTGACCTTGGGACCATCCCTTCTGTGGGGTTTCAGGGATTTTAGGCTTGGCAGTCCTGGTTTCTCAGCGATCCACACTCTTCTTCCCACTAAACAGCGTTTACTGAGCCTATTTGTTGGAGCAAACGGCCCTCAGCCAGACTGTAGAAAGAGCACTGACATCAGACAGATTTGTTTCACTTTGTTCCTTCACTCTCTCTAGTTGTAAAAGCATGTATAGGGCATCTTACAAAATACCAAATATTGCCATGCTAAAATGAGTAAGACTTTGTCCCTCCACTCAAGTTGTGTCAGTAAAGAGAACATGGTCATTATTTCCAAGAAGAGGGTTCGGAAAAGCTTCCAAAGATAGGTGTTCAACAAGTAGATAAATAGGAGACAAGATGGAGGGGAGCGGTTTTTCATAGCTGATATCTAATAAGGGACATATCCATAATCTGTTTCTTTTTTTCTTTTCTTTTCCTTTGGTGTCAGACCTGGGGGCTTGAACTCAGGGCCTGGGCACTGTCCCTGGAGCTTTTGTGCTCAAGACTAGCACCTCACCATGTGAGCCACAGCTCAATTTCCAGCTGTTAGTGCTTAATTGGAGATGAGTCTCGTGGACTTTTACAGCAAAGGCTGGCTTTGAACCACAATCCTCAGATCTCAGCCTGCTGAATGTGAACCACCTGCACTGTGGCTTCAACATTCTTGTTTTTACCTATTTGTAAAATGGAAGTGGTTTTTTGTTGTTGTTGTTTTGTTTTTGTAAGTGTTGGGGTTTGAACTCAGGGCCTAGGCACTGTCCCTGAGCTTCTTTTGCTCAGGGCTAGCACTCTGTCACCTGAGCCACAACACCACTTCCAGTCTTTTCTGTTTATGTGGTGCTGCAGAATTGAACCCAGGGCTGCATGCATGCTAGACAAGCACTCTACCACTAAGCCACATTCCCAACCCAATGGAACTGTTTTTGCATGTGTGCCAGTACTGAGGTTTGAACTCAGGGTTTTGCAATCTGAGTTAACTTTTCACTTGGGCTAGCTCACTCTACCACTTGAGCCGCACCTTTTTTTTTTCAGTAGTGGGGCCTCAACTCTGGGCCTGGGTGCTGTCCCTCAGCTCTTCAGCTTAAGGCTAGCCCTCTAGCTCTTGAACCACAGCGACACTTCTGGCTTTTTCTGCTTATGTGGTGCTAAGGAATCGAACCCAGGGCCTCATTCATGCAAGGCAAGCACTCTACCACTGAGCCACCTTCCCAGCTCCATTTCTGGCTTTTTATTTGCTAATTGGAAGTAAGAGTCTCTGGGATTTGTCTAGGCTGTTTTCAGACTGTGGTCTTTAGGTCTCAGCCTTCTGAATAGCTAGTGTTATAGCATAAGCCAGCAGCATTGGCTGATTTTTTTTTTTTTTTTTGTCTGTCGTGGGGCTTGAACTCTGGGCCTGGGCGCTGTCCCTCAGCATTTCAGCTCAAGGCGAGTGCTCTACCACTTGAGCTACAGCGCCACTTCCGGTTTTCTGGTGGTTTACTGGAGATAGGAGTCTCAAGGTCTCTCCTGCCCGGGCTGACTCCTGCCCAGGCTGGCTTTGAACCGCGATCCTCAGATCTCAGCCTCCTGAGTAGCTAGGATTACAGGGGTGAGCCACCAGCACCCGGCTTCCCCCCCCCCCGGGCTTTTTTTTTTTCTTATACAAAGCACAGGGCATAAAGCCGGGTGTCGGTGGCTCACGCCTGTAATCCTAGCTACTCAGGAGACTGAGATCTGAGGATCATGGTTCAAAGCTAGCCCAGGCTGGACAGTCTACCAGACTCTTATCTCCAATAAACCACTAGAAAATGGGAAGTGGTGTTGTGGCTCAAGTGATAGAGCACTAGCTTTGAGCTAAGAGCTGAGGGACGGCGCCCAAGCCCAGAGTAAAAGCCCTATGACCAACAACAGCAACAAAAAAAGCACAGATCATATCACATAAGATATTCAGTAAATATTACTCTTAATCTTTCCTCTGTGGAACCATGCCTTAGCCTCTCTACCTTCTGCTTCCTTCTCTGCAGACCTATACCAGATTTACTGGTGCTCCACTCAAGGTACACAAGATTACCAACCCTTGGCGGAGCCCTTCAGGTATCCAGTGTCCATGGGTGGGGTAAGGGAGTGTGCAAGGGGAGGAGCAGGAAATAGGAAGGAATGTGGCACAAATATGTATGAATAGTCAAACTAGGATCTGGTAGACATACTTCTTTGTCAATGTCAGGAACTCTGCCTGCCCTTCGGACAAGTCAAGGAGAGGTCATCTCAGCACCACAAAAGATCATCACTCACCTTCGAAAAGAGGTACAAGACTTGGGGAAGGTGGGGTTTCAGTGAAAGAAATCCAGTCAATTCAGTGCAACTCATGTTTATTAAGCACCTAACTTATACCAAGCTAGACACAGGTGGCCCAGAGCACCAAGTAGCACAAATTCTGATGGGGAAGACACATAATGTCACTATATTGTAGTAAAGCATTTGGCCAGAAATTAAGCTCAAGGCACTATGGAAATATGCAGAGACATAGTGCCGTCTGTATAGTTGACAGGCAAGGAGTCTTAAACTGGTCACAGGTGGAAGAAGAAAAAAAGAGAAGATAGCAATTGATTCTAATGAGATGCTCAAAGATGGGATTGGACAGGGACTTTGAAGGGCCTTTTCTCTGTTTTCAGGGACCAGGTTGGGGTGAATATGGGGCTCAGGATGCACAAGGCTTAGAGCCAGGTTAGGGAATTTGAAAGAACATTACAAGAAGAGTACTGAGACCTAGGGTCCTCTCACTCTTCCTACTCCCCTCACTACCTTCCCAAACTATTGGATTTAGCCATCATGCTTTAAAAGTTCTTCTAATCTGTGGTGTGATTCCAAGAGGGAACACATTGTCCAAAATGGGCTCCTCTTCTTCATTTAAAGGCTTGGGAAGCTAGGGAATTAATGTGGGTTATAGAAGCCTTTACAATACATATAAAAGCCAAAGTTCCTGACAGGGCCTGGACCATTACCTTGATTCCTCATGTATAAAGGTTTTTTTTCTCATTTCCAAAATGTTTTCCCCTACATTATTTACTAATAGAGCCTATTAAGAGATGAAGATGATTATTAGTGCCGGAGCCTGCCAGCAACGAAAGGGAATCCTGAATTGGGGGCGAGGACGGGAAAAATAAAGACATAAGATAAAGGGTGGGGTTGGGAGGTCTGCAGCTCAAGACTGCAGCACCGTTTATTTTTAACTTTCCCTAATATATACTATTAGAAGTCAAGAGGTAACGTAAGGTTACAATAGTCCAGAAAAGCAAGGAAAATTTCAGTAAAAACAGAGTGCAGTAAAAACAAGACAAGGTCAACTGGTAGGAAGTAAAACAAACTGCAGACATAGCAAAGCAATCCCGGGCACCTGGTGTTTTTAAGTAAGCCAGTTCCTTGTACGTGCCTTCAAGTGAGCACCAGGGTCAAGATGATCTTTAAACTTTACTGTCGGCTCCCAACATATTAGTTTCTTATGCTACAGAGGGAAAACTGAGGTTCAGTGAGTTTTAAGAATTGTACTTAAGCTAGAGGCATGACTTAAGTGGTAGAGCACTTGCATATCAAGCATGAAGTTCAACCCCAAGTACCACCAAAGGGGGGAGGATATGGGGGGGGTGTGTGTTCAAGAGATTACACAGCGATAAAGGCTGTTCAGGGTGTGGAAGGATATGTGTTGAGGAACAGACTGAAGCTGGGAAAGATAGAGCAGGATGAGACTGATATGGGTGGAACTTAGGTTTAGTGGTGGCACCTAGGCTATGGAATGAAACAGAAGAAATAGCCAAGAGCTGGGCCATGAGGGAACAAGCTGGGGAGATGGAGCGGGTGAGTTCACTGGGTCCAAGCAATATGAGGATGGTGTCCCTTAGTTCCTTAGGCATGGGCTGAGGCTCAACCTGCAGCTGAGCTCTGCCGTTAGCTTTGTGGTGTCTAGATTGGGACGTTACTGTTAGAAAGTTGCTGTCAGCAGGCTTGCTGCCAGCTTTCCGTGGAAACTCTGGGAGCTGCTCCTAGTTTGTGGCCAGGCTTTCCTTCCTCCCCCCACCTCAATGGGCATAGGACCTTGACGGCCAGCAGACTCCAAGGCCCAGGCTGTCAGCCAACAGTAACAGGCTGTGCTGGCTGGGCCAAGGTAAGGGGGCCTCAGCGGGCAAAGCTCTTTGTTCTGCCTCTGCTACACAGAGCGGCTAATGAGGCTACCTTCCCTACCAGGGAAGTGCCCCTTCAGTCCTCCCAGCATCAGTTTCATGAATATTTCTTTCACAGAAGTATAATGCTGATTATGATCTATCAGCTCGGCAAGGAGCTGACACCTTGGCTTTCATGTCTCTACTAGAGGAAAAACTGCTCCCGGTGTTGGTAAGTATGTATAGACCTCCCAGTGTTCACAGCCTGCAGGGAAGGGTCAGGCTGATATACCCCCACAGAGCACTGTGGGGGTCAGAAGCCTATTCTGTGTCAGGCAGGTACACTAGTTCAGACATCCCCTTCCTTCCTGCCTACCCAATCCAGATACATACTTTTTGGATAGACACCAAGAACTACGTAGAAGTGACCCGGAAGTGGTATGCAGAGGCTATGCCCTTTCCCCTCAACTTCTTTCTACCTGGCCGCATGCAGCGGCAATATATGGAGCGGCTGCAGCTGACGAATGGGAAGCCCAGTCCTGAGAATGAGGAAGAAGTGGAGAAGGAGGTAGCTTTGGGACAGGGGCTGCTATATGAGATGAACCCCAAGGTTGATGGCCAGAAATGGGAGTGCCCAGGTGGGGAGGTGACACTCTTCCCACAGCCACATGCCTACCTGTTCCTTCCTTATAGCTGTACCAAGAGGCTCGGGAATGCCTAACCCTTCTCTCTCAGCGCCTGGGCTCTCAGAAGTTCTTCTTTGGAGATGCGTGAGTCTGACTCCTGGGGTGTTAATGGGTGGTTGGAAGACTACGGGTTCACAAGTAGCTGCTGGGGCACAGGCTGGGGCTGAAAGGTAGGCTCAAGCTCTAGACAAGAAGTCCTTAGGACAGACACTGGCTGTAATGACAATGGGGCTGTGTGTGGGGCCAGAGCCTCCTTGGTGGTACAGGAGGATGGGGTGGGAGGATCGCCAGGTACAGGAGGGGCCTGCAGGGTGTGGGGCACTCAATGTGCCCTTTATGCAGCTCTAGGATAGAGCCCCATTCAGGGCCTGGCTGGCGCCACCTAGAGAACCCTTCTCATACCAGACCAGGAACTGTGTGTCCTGTCCCTCCACTGGTGGCCCCATGCTGCCCAGAGCCTCCCCACATCCCTAGACTGGTATTTCTTCCAGCTCCATCTTGACCCCTCTGCCCACCTGTCCTCTATCCTACCTTTTTCTCTCCAGCCCTGCATCCTTGGATGCCTTTGTCTTTAGCCACCTGGCACTGCTACTGCAGGTAAAGATGCCCACTGGGAAACTGCAGATACACCTTCGGGGGTTGCAAAACCTCTGTGTCTACTGTTCCCACATTCTTAGCCTCTACTTTTCCTGGGATGGAGGTAAGGAGCAGATGGAGGGGGCAGTCTTGGGAAGAATGCCTGGGATCCAGGGACTAGCTCCCTGCCCACTTTCCTTTTCTTGTTCCTCAGCTGCAGTGCCACCTCCACGTCAGACACCAGCAGCCCCAGATACTGAAGAGGAGCCAAACCGGCGCCGGAACCAGATCCTGTCTGTGTTAGCAGGGCTGGTAGCCATGATGGGCTATGCCTTGCTCAGTGGAATCATCTCTATCCAGAGGGCAGCCCCTCCTCATACCCCAGGCACCCGGGCCCTGGACATGGTTGAGGAGGATGAAGAGGAATGATTTGTCCTCATGCTCTTAGGACTGGTTTTTCAATTGTGCATTCCATAGGTCTCTCTGGCTCCCCATTGTTGAGACAGCCAGAAATGGGTACTCCCCACCCCTAGAATAAAGCCGCTCGCACTGACTGGGATCAAACCTTTTCTCCTTAAATGTGCTGCCATTGTCTCAGCTTGTGCTTTAGCTGGGGCCCTGGGTGCTTGAGCCTACCCACTGGCACTAGGCTTCTGAAATTGCTTTAGCTTTGATGCTGACATTGCTCCTGCATGGGCCCAGTCTCCATCTCCAGGAAAGACAAACAATCCCCAGTTTTGGGTTCAGCCTTCCCAGTCTCCTCTGCTCACCTCCCTCCCCCACCATCTTTGTTTGTACAGTGAGCTCACCCTGGGCCTAGGCCCAGTTTCCACGGGCAACTAGTACATTGCACACACTTCTACAAGCATGAGGGGCAGGGACACATTAGGGCTTTCTGATTTTTCTTTAGAGGCCTCCAGCCCCTGGTACCTACTAGAGAGGAGAGTGAATCACCCAAACCACTACCCCTGAGCCTGTGTCACTGTAAGCTCACACTGGCCCTACTGTGCCCTATTCAGTCACAGACATGAGCTGACTGTCCTTTTAATGTCCATGCTGAACCCAGGTATCTGCTTGAGTGTCTGCTCCATCACTAGCGACGCCACAGGTAGGTATGAATGGAATACCCAGGTGAGACGGTCTCCAGGAATCCTATAGCAGGATCACTGATGGTAAGAGGTACATCCTTAGAAGAGCTGAGGAGGGAAAGAGTAGCTGAGAGTGAGGCTGCTGAGGCCCAATACTTCATCTCAGCCCAGACCTTCCCCTGCCCTTGTCCTTACCGATTTAGCACCACCACAACTGCAGAACCATCAGGTCGTATCAGTGCCACTGTGTCCAAGTCATTCTTCTCACTGGCCACAAGCCCCACTCTCTGGGAGTCTTCAGGAATGAACTTGCTGCATGTGGGAACAGGCATCATCTGAGACCTCAGTCCAGCACCTTAGAGTACCACCCATGAAACCCTCATCTAAAGCTGGGCACCCAGTGGGCTCATACCTACAATCTTAGCTGCTCAGTAGGCTGAGATCCGGGGGTGGCAATTCAAAACCAGCCCTAGTCCATGAAACTCTCATCTCCAATTAACAAGCAGATCCCCAGAAATGGAGTTGTAACTCAGGTGATAAGAGAGCTAGACTTGAGCAAAAAAGCTAAGGGACAGTACCTAGCAATAGCTAGTCCCTAGCTCAAGCCCCAGTACTGGCAAGAAAAAAAAAATCCTCATCTAAGAGTTTATTCTCCTTCTTAACCTCTCACCGCCTCTTTAGTCCTGCCAAAGCTCTGCCCTAAGGCTGGCATGCTAACATGTTTATAGTATCAGCTGTTCTGGAAGCTGAAGGAGAACAGCAAGTTGCAAGTCCAGCCTGAACAACACAGAACAAGGCTCGTAAAACAAAGCAAGGCTGGGTGTGGTGGTACAAGTCTATAATCCCAGTTCTGCTCTAACTCTTAAGTTCTCCAGATGTGTTGTTGGGCCCTGCTCCTACCCTCCCACATCCCAGTGCCAGCTTCTAATAACCAGAGTTATCTGTTTCTAGTACCACCTAATCACTTCCTGCCTACATGGTGCAAGAGAGAAGGGGTGTGCCTCTCCTGAGGTTCCCACCTATGCACCTTCCTGCTCGCTCGTCTAGGGTGATGTAAGCCTGATGCAGCAGATGATAGGCTTGGTGTGGCATGGTGGCACCCTCCTCAACTCACCTGAAGTGGCCAAGGTGGTAGAACATGGGCTGTTTGTAAAACGTATCCTTGGCAATGTCCACAATGATGGGACTGTCGACAAAGTTGCGGACCCAGTTGGGTCCCCCTTCAGGGTTCAGGGCAAGGTTCCAGTCTGTCCAGCCAGACACGTGGTAGAGAAGGTTCTGCAGTAGGAACAAGGGCAAAGAAATATTCAACACGAGAGATCCTCAGAGAAGGCACGTGCCTCAGCCTTGTGAAGGAGACTGAAGGTGGGGCATCTCGAGGGGGGCCAAGAAATTGGTGGCAGATGCAGTTGTCTAGCTTGGCTCCAAACATGTAGTAAGAGGCTATGTATGGGCTACAGTTCTGTGAAGGAAAGGTAAGGCATGATCATGGCGTCTCAGAATTGCCCCAAAGGGTAAACTAGCAGTTGAGGAGGAAGACCTGTCAACCTTTGGAGATTGTAGGAAGCTATCTATTATGGTCTGCTTTATGGGAGGAAGATAGTTGGCTCACCGTGATGATGCTGTGGCTGTACTGCATCCCACGATCCCAGGAACCCAGACGTACACTCTGCTCCCAGAATTTGGAGCCCACACAGGCCTCAGAGGCGAAGAGCATGGTATTGGGGAACAGACGATGTGTTTCCCCCAGGGTGGATCTTGCTGGAGCCAGAAAGTCCAGGTACCAGTGTACAGCAATGCCATGAACGTACTTAGCTGCCTCTGGGTCTTTTAGTACCTGCCCAGGGACAGGAAAGGACCACTGAGAAACAGGAACCACTGGCCCAGAAACCTGCACAGAGGATTCTGGAAAAGGAGCTAGGATTCTCACGAAGTAGGCACTAAGATGGATACAACTAGAAGGGGTTACAGTGACCACCCAGGGGTCTTCAGAGCTTGGGCCCCTAGCCCTAGCCCAGGGTGTCCTAGTAATCAAGAGTTGAACAGGGCTGGGAATGTGGCTTAGAAGTAGAGTGCTTGCCTTGCATGCATGAAGCCCTGGGTTCAGCACCACATAAACAAAAAGCCAGACGTGGTGCTGTGGCTCAAGTGGTAGAGTGCTAGCCTTGAGCACAGAATGGCTCAAGGACAGTGCCTAGGCCCTGAGTTCAAGCTCCAGGACTGGCAAAAAAAAAAAAAAAAAAGTTGAACAGAAGCCAGGCATTCGTGGTTCATGCCTGTAATTCTTACTACTCAGGAGGTTGAGATCTCAGGATCATGGTTTGAAGCCAGCCTGGGTAGAAAAGTCTGAGACTCTTATCTCCAATTAAGCACCAAAAAAGAAGTGGAGCTGTGGCTCAAGTAGTAGAGCACTAACCTTGAACAAAAGAGCTCAGGGACAGCACCCAGGCCCAGAGTTCAAGCCCTAGTACTGGTAACAAAAAGAAGAGTTGAAGCTGGGTGCCGGTGGCTCATGCATGTAATCCTAGATACTGAGAAGGCTGAGATCTGAGGATCAAGGTTCAAAGCCAGCCCGGGCAGGAAAGTCCATGAGACTCTTCCAATAAACCACTAGAAAACCAGAAGTGGCGCTGTAGCTCAAGTGGTAGAGTGCTTGCCTTAAGCTAAAGAGCTGAGGGAGAGCTCCAAGGCCCAGAGTTCAAGTCCCATAACTGACAACAAAACAAAACAAAAAAAGAGTTGAACAGTCAGGTGCTGGTGGCTCATGCCTATAATCCTAGCTACTCAGGAGGCTGAGATCTGAGGATCCAGCCTGGGCAGGAAAAGTCTGTGAGACTCTTATCTCCAACAAACCACTCAGGAAAAAAAAAAAAAAAGGGAGTGGTACTGTAGTTGAAGTGGTAGAGTGCTTGCCTTGAGCTAAAGAGCTGAGGGACAGTGCCCAGGCCCAGATTTCAAGCTTCACGACAGACCAAAAAAAAAAAAAGAAAGAAAAGAAAAGTTGAACAGGAAAGGTACTCTTAAATTTGGAGCCAATCATTTGTATGCTATAGTTTTGGGACACTGGGGTCTTCATGGAGGTCATGACCCTTACCACTTCTGCCCATCTGGGGAGCAGCAAGCGTTGGTCATCCAACATGAGCAACAGGACATCGCGGTGAGTACTATTGGCAAGGGCTGGACCCAGGTCATGGGCAATGAAGTCTCTCTGGTGTTCAGCAGTAAAGCCCAGACATTGGAAAGGGTACCCAGTAATCAGCCCCGCAGTAGGTTCATTCTCAGCCGTCACTGCCCAGAATTTTAACTTGTACGCAGCATAGGCATCTAGGAACCTGGCAGAGGAAAGAACATGAGTGATCATGGCTAAAAGAACAGACCAGGACCCCAAGGAATAGGAATCCTGATGGAGCAGGGAAACTGATAGCCCTAAGTCTCAAAGGTTGAGAAGGTAAAAATGAACTAGGAAAGGCAGGTCTAAAATGGACCCAAGTCCAGGGGTGGGACATAGGCTATGGTGTCCAAAGGAAAAGCTGGTCCAGACACCCTTGACATTCTGATTTCTTACCTGACAAAGTAGTTGGCCCAGGTCTGGTGGTAGATATCCCCTGGCTGACCCTTCAGTGTCCCCTTTCCATTCACTGCCCCATTAGTCTTGAGCCAAGTAGGCGATGTCCAGGGACTGGCGAAGAGGGAGATGGGGCGCTGGGTCATTTTCAAGGCTCTGTGAATCAGGGGTATCTAGAGGCACACATAGCAAGGAGAGAGATACCCAGACTTGGAACACAGATGGACTAGCCTAACCTGCACATCAGGTCTAGCCATCATCTCCTACCCTCCCAATCCCAGGACAGAACAGGAAGCAGAGAAAGTTTATCATCTTTATACATTGCCCTAACTGGACCCCCAGATTACAATGTCATCAGGGCCTGAGGCAGCCAGAATGCCCACCTTGAGCTTGGTGTCTTCTTCTGAAAGGCTAAAGTTGTGCAGCTGGAAGTCATCAGGGGAGTCATCATAGGTGTAAGTGCTGATAGAGAAGTCAGTGCTAGCCATAGGTACCCGGATGATGTTATATTCAATTCCTACAGAAAAGCATGCCCAAGGTATGGGAGTCCAATAGGAGAATATGGAACTTGGGGGTTCTCTCTCTCTCTCTCTCTGGTTGACATGGAGTTTCATAAACTTCTTTTTGCCAAGCTGGCCTTGAACCATGATTCCCCAATCTTTGTCTCCCAAGTAGCTCGAATTACAGGTTTGAGTCACTGCTCCTTGCTGGAACTTCTATCACTTGCCAGTCTGAAATAGAATCTTAGAGCCAGAGCAAACCTGGGGCTCTAGGTGGGGCAATATAGAGGCCAGGACCCAGATGAAGCACAAGCCCTCTGAGCCTAAGACAGGGCAATTTTATTTTACTGGCCTTTAGAGAGGAACCAAATATTCAGGCCTGATTTCATATGCCTAATGCCACCAAAAGGAGGCAGCTGCAAAGGCAGGAAGAGAAGAACAGAAGAACCATGGCTAGGTAAGATTATATCTGTAATCTCAGCTACTCAGGAGACAGAGATAGGGAAGATCATGGTTAAAGGCAAAAGATCAGCAAGATTCCAATCTTTTTTTTTTTTTTTGTCGGTCGTGGGGTTTGAACTCTGGGCCTGGGCACTGTCCCTGCGCTCTTCAGCTCAAGGCTCTACCACTTGAGCCACAGCACCACTTCCGGTTTTCTAGTGGTTTATTGGAGATAAGAGTCTCAGGGACTTTCCTGCTCGGGCTGGCTTGAACAGTAGTTCTCAGATCTCAGCCTCCTGAATAGCTAGGATTATAGGCATGAGCCACCAGCGCTTGGCAAGATTCCAATCTTAACCATCTGGCCAGGAATGGTGGTGCATGCCTGTCATCCCAGCTAAGCAGGAGGCATAGGTGGAAAGATTGCAATCCAACATCAGCACTAGGTAAAAAATGCAAGACCCTACCTGAAAAATAAATAAAGCAATAAAGGGCTGGCTCAGAATAACTAAAGGAATGTGTGGGTTCAAATAGCAGAGAACCTGCCTAGCAAGTGTGAGGCTCCGGTGATAATGGTGCTATGTCTCTCTCCTCACCTTCTGTAGAGAAGTATGATTTCAGGAGCAAATTCTGGGCAGAGGGTGACAAAGCAAGGATGTTGAGAGCAGTAGCATCTGTCATAGCCCCTCCAAATCCTTTCACTTTCTGGAACTTCTCTTCTGGCTGCAGGGTCAGTAGAAGTCCTAAGGATACCGTGAGAAAAGAAAGCCTGTTAGCACACAGAGGAAAAATTCCATGGTGGCCACTGGTATGACGTGGACTTATGACAGGGACCCAACCTGGCTCTGAGGTAAGGAGCATAGTAATTACCTGTGCCCGTGCGATTGGCCTGGATGGTTCCCATACTCATCTCCATCCGACGTCCACCTCGTGTACTCTCATATCGGCTGAAGTTACCAGGGGCAGGGAGGGTTAAGGGGTCAAGAGAGTCGCAGTATGTGGCATTGCAGACACAGACCACTGAACTGTAGCCAAAGCTTTTAGGTATGCAGGGACGGGCACCTGCAAGGGAGGAGCAGAAGCAGGAGCAAGAGCTGAAGGGGGTGGATGAAGGAAATGGATGTGCTGATTAGAATAAACATGGATTTCAAAAAGTTGTTTCTCCTACCCCAGGTTGCTCTCAATCACTCATAAATGTTGGCTGAGCCACTACTGAAACTGTACCACTGGAAGACAGAAGGGTGCTCAGTGCCCCCTTCCTCCGCTTGTCTCACCTGATGTCCATGACACTGCCTGAAGTAGAAGCAATCCCATGAGACTGGAAGCCACGATGCCTCCCCAGCTCCAGTGTTTGGGACACTCCTAAGAACAGGATGAGAAATGAGTAGAAGGCAAGCCCCCTCTTTTTACTTCAATACTTTCCTGGTCAGTATTTGGCAGTCTATGGGTGCCCACAGTCTAGTTTATATATATATATATATATATATATATATTTTCCCCCCAGTCCTGGGGCTAGAACTCAGAGCTTAGGCACTGTCCTTGAGCTTCTTTTGTTCAAGCACCACTTCCCGCTTTTTCTGTTGATGTGGTATGGAGGAATCCAACCCAGGGCTTCATGCATGTGAGGCAAACACTCTACCACTAAGCCACATACCCATCCCTATAGTGTTCCTTATAAGGGTGCAGTCCTCCCTTTGCTGGTGAGAGCCTCCTGCCCACACCAGGAAGATTCTCCTCATCCTTTTCTGCCCATTTCAAGCTTGATCCTTCCCACCTCTCGTCAGTGCTTTGCTGAAAGAGCCATGATGGCTGTGTCGAAAAGATCATCTACTCAATGAATTCCAAAGCAAAGTAACCAGAAACCTGCCACTTACCTTTCCTGGAGGGCTTGAAAATATCATTGCTTCGGGGTTGCTGAGAAAGAAGACTTCCAGGAGTTTCCGAGGTTCAAACTGATAAAGGACTCACTAAATAAAACCAAGAATGCAGGTATCTGTGTGAATTTTATATAATCTACTACTGCTGGAGGAACTGAGCTTGTCCTGCAGATTTCATTCCGGCACACTGAGGTGGATGACCCAGTGTGTCATATGATAACTGAGGGAAGAGTCACATGACCCAGGAAGTGAAGCTATTGCAGCCATATTTATAATGGGTTTTACTGGCTTCTCTCTGGTTCTCAATATTCTATTCTGGAAGGTTTTTGTAGAACACAACATAGAATAAGGATTTGAGTGGAAAACTGGGTAAAAGCACCTAAATCTCAGAGAAAGTAGGCCACAGCAAGCACATGTAGCAAAAAAAATTTAAGTGATACTAAGGGCTGGGGACTTTTTAGTGGATAGCTTGCCTAGTAGAAGATGTGAAGCCCTGAGCTTCATTCCCAGCACTAACTATAAAAGTGTTACTGCCAGATGCTGCTAAGATCTGAGGACTCCCCAGGGAGGAAAATCCATGAGATGTGTGTGTGTGTGTGTGTGTGTGTGTGTGTGTGTGTGTGTGTGTGAGATGTGACTCTATAAAAGTGTTACTGCCAGGTGTGGCTGAGATCTGAGGACTCCCCAGGGAGGAAAGTCCATGAGATGTGTGTGTGTGTGTGTGTGTGTGTGTGTGTGTGTGTGTGTGTGTTATGGGACTTGGGTGCTGTCTCTCAGCTCTTCAGCTCAAGGCCAGCACAGCACCACTTCCGGTTTTCTGGTGGTTAATTGGAGATAAGAGTCTCACGGACTTTCCTGCCCAGGCTGGCTTTGAAGTGTGATCCTCAGATCTCAGTCTCCTGAGTAGCTAGGATTACAGGCTTGAGACACCAGTGCCTGACTTCCATGAGATTCTTATCTCCAATTAACCCCTAAAAACCCAGAAATGGAGCTGTGGCTTAAATGGTAAAGTATTAGCCTTGAGCAAAAGAGCTCAGAGTGGCAGAGAGACAGAGAGGAGGGGGAGGGAGGGAGGAAAAAAAATAAGGACAGTGACACTTACCCAAGAACCAGTGGCTCACTCCTGTAATTCTAGCTAATCAGGAGACTGAGATCTGAGAATCTCAGTTCAAAGCTAGCCCAGGTAGAAAACTGTGTGAAACTCTTATCTCCAGTTGAGCAAAAAAAAAAAAACAGAAATGGAGCTGTGGTTCAAGTGGTAGAGTGTCAGCTTTGAGCCAAAAAACTAAAATTCAGTGCCCAGGCCTTGAGTTCAATCCCCAGCACTAGTGCATGAACGCATAAGCATGCACGCATGTGCACAAGTGTGTGTCTGCATCTTCATGCACGTGTACGTGCGCACGCGCACACACGATACAAATGACAATACTAATAAAGAGAGACTTGCTAAGCAAAATTCTGAGGCCATACAAATATTTAAGACATAAATAGGGCCACACAGCCGGGCGCTGGTAGCTCACGCCTGTAATCCTTGCTACTCAGGAGGCTGAGATCTGAGGATCGCGGTTCAAAGCCAGCCCAGGCAGGAGAGACTGTAAGACTCCTATCTCCAAAAAACCACCAGAAAACCAGAAGTGGCACTGTAGCTAAGTGGTAGAGGGCTCGCCTTGAGCTGAAGAGCTGAGGGACAGTGCCCAGGCCCAGAGTTCAAGTCCCATGGCCGACAAAGAAAAAAAAAAAATAGGGCCACACAGATATTGCCCTAAAGAGGCCCATGGAGCACAGAGGCAGATACAGATGCAGATATTTACCAGAGAAGACAGAAATAGTAACGTGCTTGGAGAGCTCCCTGGAAGAGGAACCTGGACCCTTGGTGGGTGGGAAGTTCTCCAGAAAGTCTTCTCAGAGGAGAAGCCTGGTGGTGGGGGTGTTATTATACAGTCCAGTGTGGAAAGGGCAGGACTTGGCATAGAGATAGCATGACTGAGGGAAGGAGTGGTCAGCACACACCTTTCTGGATTCCCTGTTTCACCATCAGTTGCTAATTGCAGTAACTTCTCTTCCTTCCTCTCAGGACCCAGAGGTTGGCATAATAGTTCGGCACCTAGGCAATGGGCTAGGCATGGAGTGGGGGTGGGGCACATGCCTGTAATCACAGCTACTTGAAGACAGAGACAGAAAGATTGCCTGTGTAGGGCAGCCAAGGGCAAAGTACGTAGGAGAAACTATTTGAAAACCTAAAGTAAAAACAAAAGGACTGGAAGCGTGGCTCGCGTAGTAGAGTGCTTGTCTAGCAAATACAAGGCTCTGAATTCACTCTCTAGAACAAAGAAAAAAAGAAAGAGAAAAAAAAGGAAGGAGGGAAGGAGGGAAGAAGGGAGGAAGGGAGGAAGAGAAAGAGGGAAAGGAGGGAGGGAAGAAAGGGAGGGAAGGAAGGAGGGAGGAACTGAAGAGTGCTAAACAAAGATACTTCCTCTGTGGACAGAAGAAAGGAGTTGATCCTGATGTTGCTACATAAACCACATCAGATAAGATTAGTGTGACACATGCAATATAACCTGACTAATTCCAGGTCTTTGAGCCTGTTTTCTGGTTTGTAAAAAGGAGGCAATACTACAGTCTCACAGAGTTATTACTGGAGTTGGTGAGATAAGCAGGACCTGGGACTTAATAGTCACTGAAAATTACTTGCTTGTTATGTTTTGAATTATCTCAGGGTAGTCTTTCCAAGACATGCACCTAGCAAAATCCATCATTTCTTCTCCTAGTTCATAAAATACAAGTATAGTCTCTGGGAGATGGATGAGCAGGGATTGAACTTGGTGCCACCATTTACTGGCTATTTGAGCATCAGTAAATTACTTAATCTCTTTAATCCTGTTTCTAATCTATAAAAGATGAGTGATGAGTACTACTTCATAGAATGAGTGTGAGGTTTAAGTGTGATGGTGTATGACTAGTACACTGCTTGGCACCAAATATTGCAACAAGGTAAGCTTGTATTTATGGAGGAAAAAGGAGTTTCCTTTAAGGAAATGTCTTACTCATTTCTTGTAGCCTGGTATCCACAGACATCCAGGAACAGGGATAGGTTCCTCAGTTGTGAAGTTTAACTGAACTACTTGCATGGCTATGTCTGTGTTGACCTCTTTCTGAATTCCTGTTTTTCCAGGAAGTATTACTTAACATTTGTTCCCTATAGAGCAGGTACATTACTTCCTCCAGTTTACTCTTCTACAGTATTATTATATTACATATTGTATATTATTATTATTATTAAAACATGTACACATAGTCTCTGGGAGAAGGATGAGCAGGATTGTTTTCAGGTTTTGTACATGCTCAGAAAGTGCTCTACTAAGCCGGGCGCTGGTGGCTCACGCCTGTAATCCTAGCTACTCAGGAGGCTGAGATCTGAGGATCACTGTTCAAAGCCAGCCCGGGCAGGAGAGACTGTGAGACTCCTATCTCCAATAAACCACCAGAAAACTGGAAGTGGCGCTGTAGCTCAAGTGGTAGAGCGCTCAGCCTTGAGCTGAAGAGCTGAGGGACAGCGCCCAGGCCCAAAGTTCAGGCCCCAGGACCAGACACAAAAAAAACAAAGGAACAAAAAAAAAAAAGAGTCTCATGGATGGGCTGGGAATGTGGCTCAGGGGTAGAGTGCTTGCCTTGCATGCATGAGGCCCTGGATTTGATTCCTCAGCACCACATAAGCAGAAAAAGCTAGAAGTCATGCTGTGGCTCAAGTGGTAGAACGCTTCCTTGAGCTGAAGAGCCCAGGCTGAGTTCAGGCCCCATGACCCACCATAAAAAAAAAAAGGGGGAGAGAGTGACTAAAGTGGTAGTGGAGTGTCTGCTTAGCAGTTGTGAGTTTAAACCACAGTAACTTGCTCCCCTTGGGGGAAAAAAAAATGAAAGTAGAAGAGAGGGCTATGGAGAGTACCATTGGGCCCTCCAGTGCTTGGTAACCAGCAGAAGTAAAAGTAAAGCTGGCAAAGAGTGCCCACAGGATAAAGTAGAAATGCGATGTGTTTAAAGACGAGAAACAAAAACTCAAGAAGAAAAATGCTAATTGTAAAAAAAAAAAAATGCTAATTGTCTACTTCTTGAAACCGAATGAGATGCAATCAGAGAAATGCTGTAAACTTTCTTAAAAGCAGTGGCTTAAAAGCAGTGGAAAGCAGTGGTTGGAGGGTTGGTGTCGGAGCCAAAGTTGAGTCTCTCAACATAATAGGCTTGACTATCTCATTGGAACATCTTGAGGCTGAGGTTACAGAATCCGACCCTCATCCTGCCCTAAGCAACCATCCTGCACTGCTACGGCCAATGAAAAAGCTTCCTTAACGGCCAATGAAAAAGCTTCCTTATTCCAAGCATATAAATACCCCTGTGTGGAAAATAAAAATTTGCAGCTTGATCAGAACCCCTGTCTTGCTGTCATTCTTCGTGTCTCTTGTCCCTTCATTCCTTCTCGCTTAAGTTCATTGCCCTTGCTGAAGTCCTGCGGGTCGGGACAGGCTGGGAAGGTGGCTCAGTGGTAGAGTGCTTGCCTTGCATGCACAAAGCCCTGGGTTCGATTCTTTAGCACCACATAAGCAGAAAAAGCAGAAGTGGCGCTGTGGCTCAAGTGGTGGAGTGCTGACCTTGAGCTGAAGAGCTAAGGGACAGCGGCCTGGCCCAGAGTTCAGGCCCCACTACCGACCAAAAAAAAAAAAGCAGTGGCTCCAGCTGGGTGCTGGTAGTTCATGCCTGCAATTCTAGCCACTCCGGGAGATGTATGGATCACAGTTCAAGATTCAAAGCCAGGGACTGGGAAGGTGGCTCAGTGGTAGAGCCTTGCATGCATGAGGCCCTGGGTTTGATTCCTCAGTACCACATAAGTAAAAAAAAAAAAAAAAAGATTCAAAGCCAGCCTAAGCTGTGAGATTCTTTTTTTTTT